TTTCTCAGCAATCAGGTTGAGAGAGCAAAGAGAAGGATGAAGACTAACTGAATTCTAGCTACTAAGCTCTGAGATGCAGTGTGTAAATATGCCACATTCACTCCCTTTCATTTGAATCTGCCTTCCTAGAGAAAAAAACCTGTGTCATAAAAAAATTCATAGTTTCTTTTTGACTAATCTTCAGCAGGAAGCCCAAAGATATTAAATCTCAGTACTCTCACATTTTTCTCCTCCCCTAAATTTTTCTCCTCCCCTCAAACAATTCAATTCAATTTGAATTAATATTTATTGAGCTATGACACGATGCATGGCAGTATGGGGGATGCTGCAATAGAAATGCAACGTAAAAGGGATAAAACCTATGTCCTAGCTTAAGGGAAAAAAACAGTATGTTTTATACAAGACAATAGGAATAATATAGTAATAACAACCTGTGCACTACAAGACAGTATCCAAGGTTATTTAATTCAGTCACCATTTATTAGCTATCCAGTGTATTCAAGGAAACTAATAATGTAAACCAAACTTGAGGCTGTATTGACAAGAATGAGAAAAAGGAATATAGATTTTGTTTGAAGAAGAGAGTTGCATCATTTGTAGAGAAATAGATTTGTGCCATACTTTATGTATGAATAAATACGGCTGTTCGTCTCACCAGATATAGATGAATGGATCCTCATCTGTTGGTTTATCTGGAGTGTTCTTATTTATTTTTGGTTTATTGTTCTCAGAGGTCGTTAGACCTTGCTTTATTATGCCAAATTATGTTGCCCAAACTACCCAGACTGAGGTAAAATTCATCCATCTCTTTTTCCAGCAACTCCTAGCTAAGAATACAGGTTCTGGAATTAGGTTGCCTAGATTCAAATCCTGACTCCACCACTTAGTAGGTTATTAAATCTCTTCGTCCTTCAGTTTGGCCATTTATGAGATGGAGATAATGACTACACTAATATAACATCATTATTGTGAAGACTAAATGAGAGACCTGTGAAGAGCTTAGCCTGTGGCTGGTTTGTAGTGTTTAATGAATCTTAGCTATTTTCCCTATAATCATGTGGCAGAAATTAAGATATGCATTCCCCCCAAAATATAGAACTATTTTCAGAGCTTTTCTTTCATCAAGCCTATGTTTTATATGCAGAAGATGGATGGATGAATGGATGGATGGATGGATGATGGATAGATAGGGAGGGAGGCAGACAGATGATTGATAGAAAGAGATAGATTGTCACAGGCTGGGTTCCCTGGGAAACAGATTAGAAAAGGAGATTTGGATGCAGGAATTTTATTGGGAGAGCTCTCAGGCTCAACTCCCTTTATTCTCACAGCTTCTGCAGTTGTGAGGGCTAATAGTCCTTGGCTGAGTCTTTAGGAAAAACCCTTGGCTGGAGAAAGCCACCTCACCCAAGGCCAGGGGCAGCCTGAATTCAATGACTGATTGATGTGGGAGTAGAAGGGCTCAGTCCTGTTTCCTCAATTTGGGCCAACTTCAAAGGGTTATCTCAGATCCAGAATATCCCATGGAATGAATGGATGAAGACCTTTGTAGTGAAGGCATTGCACTTGTACTTCTCCTGCTGCCCAATCCTGCTTTCTCCTCTTCCTCACAGGTATTATTCCTGAGAGTGTATAATCAAAGATCAAAATTTAATGAAATGGGCCGGGCGCGGTGGCTCACGCCTGTAATCCTAGCACTCTGGGAGGCCGAGGCGGGCGGATTGCTCGAGGTCAGGAGTTCGAGACCAGCCTGAGCAAGAGCGAGACCCCGTCTCTACTATAAATAGAAAGAACTTAATTGGCCAACTAATATATATATAGAAAAAACTAGCCGGGCATGGTGGTGCATGCCTGTAGTCCCAGCTACTTGGGAGGCTGAGGCAGGAGGATCCCTTGAGCCCAGGAGTTTGAGGTTGCTGTGAGCGAGGCTGACGCCACGGCACTCACACTAGCCTGGGCGAGTACATGTGATGCCTATTCTTCTGATCTTGTGATACCTTACTTCGGATAATGGGCTCAAGCTCTATCCAGGAAAATATAAGGGTGCTAGATGATTTTCGTTTCTTATAATTGGGTAATATTCCATTGTATACATATACCAAATTTTAATAGTCTGCTTATGAATCGACAGGCACTTGGGCTGTTTCCACATCCTTCCAATAGTAAATTGTGCTGCCATTAAACATTCAGGTGCAGATGTCTTTATTATAGAATGTCTTTTGCTCTTGCCAAAGGAAATTAACAGAAACTTTTCAAAAGAAGACAGAATAATGGCCAGCAAATATATTTTAAAAAATGCTCAACATCTCTAATCATTAAAGAAATACAAATCAAACCCACCATGAGATATCACCTAACTCCAGTTAGATTGACCTGTATCAGAAAATCCCAAAATCTCTTTTTTTTTAAATGATAGCACTTACTGATATTAGAACCCTGATTACCATGTGGTTAATATAAAAACAATGAATCCAAGTATCTTCAAATGTTGGTGACAAAAATATTCAAAATAATTAATTAAAAATAACTTGCATAGTATCCAAAAAGTAGATGTAACCCAAATATCCATCAACTGGTTGATGAATGTAAATAAAAGGAATAGAAACTTATTCAGCAATAAAAAGGCTAAGATACTGATAGACGCTACAATGTGGGTGCACCTTGAAAACATTATACTAAGTTAAGGAATACAGTCACAAAAGACAATATATTATATGATTTCATTTAAGAGATATACAAAATAGGAAAATCTATAGACATAGAAATTAGATTAGTGGTTGCTTAGGCTGGTGGAGGGATTGGGGAGAAGTGGGGAGTGACTGCTAGTGAGTATGGGGTTTCTTCTGCGAGTGATGAAAAGTTCTAAAATTGATTTTGGTATGATGGTTGTACAATTCTGTGAATACTCTAAAAGCAATTGAATTGTATACTTTAAAAAGATAAATTTGTGATATGTTAATTATATCTCAATAAAGCCATTAGAAAGTAATTTGGTGCTTTGTGCTACCCTCAGAATAGATAGAAAATTAAATTTCAACCTGGTCATAAGTAACTATTTCTCTTTACATATATATAGGAGCTTATAATGGCAATCAATTTTTCAGGAAAGTTAAAGGAGAATTTTCTAACTCATGTTAAACTTATAAAAACTATATATAATAATAATAATAATGACAAGGATGTATTAAATAATAACTTACTAAAATAAGTCAGAAGCTGAACTGTATATTTTATGTGTGATTCTCTCTACAACTCTTGAGTTAGATGATTCTATTCCCATTGTACATATAAGGAAACTGAAGCACTCTTTAGTTTTCAGGGGATCCATTAACACTTCCTACTACTTAGAAATTCTGCTTGGCTAGAACTTATGATACAAGGCAACTTTATTTTTGTATAGGTAAAAGAGAAACCTTTTTAAATTTAGTGTAATTCATTCTAGGCCAAAAGAATTTATATTTTCAATTCTACTCACAGGTTTTGAGATTCCTAATAGAGGAGAGGTAGGTGAGTACATGATAGAAGATGTAGACTTCATCTAATAGTGTACTGTCTAAAAAGATGGATTGGAAACATAAGGAGCTAATAACACCAAAGATTTTCTTTGCTAGGTTATGTTTTACACATTAATTATACAGAAGAGCTTGCTTAAATGCATACTCTTGCTGTGAGAGTGTTTATTTTAGGAGAGTATCCTTTTCCTTACTCTGCACTTAAGTTAGGAGATATTATCACAGAGCTATCAAGGAGATAAGTTGATATAGTAAGAGGAAGTTTATTTCATTTGTAATATAAGCTTATTCATTTACCTGAACAATGAATCATCATTGTATAGGAGACTATATCACTATGACAGATACAGTCAGAACATCCCTGTGATTAAGTTACACTGTGATTTGAAATCAGATATGTATTCATGAAAACCACTTTAACTTGGAAAAATTTTAAGATACTCTTATTTGTGCTTCTACTATACAGCATAAGGTAATATACCCTATAGTCTCTTATATTCATTTTTAATACCATTCATAAATAAATTTTGTCTGATATATAAAAACAACTTAAGAATCTTCTATAATTCCATTAAAGTCAACAATAGCTAAATAACTAATTAGAACAATATACTTTATTTTCAAACTTAACAATTTTTATTTTCATTTTTTCTAATTTCGGGGTATTATTTGTATCTGGTCTCATTGGTACATATGTTTTGCACAGATGACAATTAGATTCTTTTTACTCTTTTTTTAAAAAGCAAACATTATTTTAAAATCAAGGTGAAGGGAACAAGATGGAATTTTCTACTATATACCAATATCATGCCTTGCTCATTAGTCCTATTATTGAATTTAATCTTCCTTAACCAGAAACTAAAATATTCCCATTTTCAGTCAGTTGCCAACAGTTTCTTTTGTATTTTCCCTACATAATGAAAAAATGGAAAAATCTAGTTATTTTCTATTTGCTTGTGTTTTTTTCTTTCTCTTGCAGCTTCTTTAAACTTTTGCTTGTGCCATCATGTTTTCTTTACCCTGAGTGACCTGGCCTGACTCCCATTTTTCAGTGTCTCTAGTTACAACACAGGTTCCATCAATCCTAGATTTTGGTGCCCTTCTGCCCGCCTGTATGGCTGATTCAAAGCTCACAGCTCTGGAAAGTGGATTCTTTTTTCTTGGTAGCCTTCACTCTTACTTTATTTGACTTTAGTTCCTTCCTATTGTCTAAAATTTTTGACAGTTTCTGGCATTTTTTTCTGGCAGTTAATTTGGTTGCCTCCCTTCTGTCCTTTGTTTAGTTCTCCTTCATCATTTCCAGGTAGATGTTCCCTTACCTTTATATGTCAAATTCTTACATTTCTTTATGAACATAATAAATGGTCATCAAACTTGATGCTTGTGTTCATTGGAACCGGTAAAATAAATTTAAGGATCTTATCTAATACATACATATACACGCTGCATTAGAATAAATCAAATTAAACGATTGTGATTCTCTTGCAGAAACACGATGGCCACTTCACAGTCATCCAGTTGGTCGGGATGCTCCGTGGCATTGCGTCGGGCATGAAGTATCTTTCCGATATGGGTTATGTTCATCGGGACCTTGCAGCTCGGAATATATTGGTCAATAGCAACTTAGTATGCAAAGTTTCTGATTTTGGTCTCTCTCGAGTACTAGAAGATGATCCAGAAGCTGCTTATACAACAACTGTAAGTTATATACCCTTTCCCAATATAATTCATTTGCTTTTATTGTTTTAATATTATTGGAGCAATTCTGTTTTCATTTTCCCAGTGATCTGCTTTTATTTATCATTTTGCTAATTTTATATCATTATTTAATTAGGAAGTATTTGCTTTATCTGAATCCCTAGTTTAAAAAAGTTAACTTATATTTGACTGTTTTATTTCTTTCATGTGCTAGGACTTTAATATCATACTTGAGGTATATATCATGACTGCCCTCACAACAAATTTGTCTTTGCCTGAAGGATTGCTATTGCTTCAACAATTATTTCTGTTATATAGAGTTCAATAGACAAATAGTGTAATCAGTTACTAACTCAGTGACAGTGAGGAACCAGTGATTATGAAATGATTTTTTTTTCAAATGTTATGGAATGATCTGATCATATCTTTAAATGAACAGTATAGGTTGCTCAGGAGATATGTAAGTATACTCTATATCTTTTTCTAAATGATACTTGAGAAAAATGTCAGGAGGAATAAAAGTTTAAAACTTTAGAACAAAACTATCACCTGCAATTACATGATCTCAATTCATCACATGAATAGTTTAAATATTTCTGAATGCCCTAAGCCAATTCATTTCATTGATCTCTTTGGTTATTGTTTTGAGAAATTCAATCTCAAAGTCTCTGTAGAGTTATCTCAAAGCTATTATTTGTAAAATTATATTCTCTTATCTTTTAAACAAAGTCTCACTATTGACTCATTTGACAATCAGCTTCAGTGAAAAAATAAGTCAGTAGAACTATTCAAGATGTGTTTTTATCCTGTTCCTTTTCTAATCTTACATATTATTTTGAAAGATGCACTCCATTATTTTGTTCCTTTTTATTTCATTTTCTATGAGATTTTTTTGAAACTTTGCTGTATTCAATTACTCCAGAATGGATGTAGGTTTAATATTATGAATAGACTATTTTATACCCTTACTCTATATGCTTCGTAGAAATGCTCTATATTAATTTATCAGTGATTTTTTTCACAATTTCTTCAACAAAGAAATATAGTTCTAAGGAAAATAATTTAATCTCTCATTGTCTAATATATAAAGTAGCAATATCTATTGATCTTTTAATTTGAGCAAGAAAACTTCATAAAAATCCTGTGAATTCTGAAAATAATTTGTTCATTTTAGAAAAAGCATTTAACTCTGTTTTTAATTGAAAAATATAATAAGTATTTTTATTTTTTTCAAGGTCTTTATTTTTCTATATTTTATTTTTACAAATGTATAACTTCAAACAACTTTTGGAGTTATAGAGTAATGCATATAAAGTTTTTCTATTAAGCATATTATTTCCAACCATAGAGAATAGTCTTTAAAATATTATATATACTATAAATTATAACATTTATAAAAATTGCAACAAATACAATCTGCTAAATGACTAAAATAGGAAATAACTACTAGACTCCTTGGCTGTAAGCCTATATAGATACACTTGAAATCCCTTCTAAAATAATATTTTAACTGCCTTTTAAAATGGGAAGTTAGCAATCAAAATTAAGATAATAATAAAATTGGCAAGTAACTTAAATTATTTTATATAAATATATATATGTTTATCACATTAAATTTGACATCTAGACTGTAGGCATTTTCTGTCTTATGTTGTTATAGAGACTAAGAGGCCTAGAACAGGGCTGTTTTAAATTTAGATCAGACTACAGGATTCAACAGCAAATTAGGTAACCAGAATATTAACACTCTAAAAAGTGCTTGTGAAAAGCTACAGATTATGTCTTGATTAAGAAATGAGTCTCTGAATTTAAAAGGTATCGATTAAATGGCATATAATGTAATCAAGTTATTTTTTAAAAAATCTCAGAACTATCTTACTGCTCAGAGGATTGACTTTATAGTGAACATGGACATTCAATACTTAAAATAGTAAAGCTCTTGCCTTCAAAGATGTTATGCTTTGACAGGGTAGACAAACTAATGCTTCCTTGCAATTCAGTGCATTAAGCAATGTCATTGAGAACGGAAGAAGGCTTCACAAAAAGACAAAATGTGACCCAAGTCTTAGAAGATTTCATTAGGCAGACAGTTGGAGGAAAGGTAGTCCAGATAGAGGAAGGAGAAAGAGAAAAGACATGGAAATGCAGAGAAGTAAATGGGCATCTTAATGGAAGTGTGGGGCCAATTGGAAGGCCCAAGTTTCTTAGAAATAATTGTAAAGGTACCTGAATGGCACTTCAAAAAATTTGAAGGGTTTTTTTAAAGTTTTTTGGTTTTTTGGGCTTTTTTTTTAATAGCAGCAGAAGACAATGTTGACTTATTTAAATAGGGGAATAACAAAAAGAGAAGTCTATCTTAGAACAGCTGTCCCCAACCTTTTTGGCACCAAAGACTGGTTTCATGGAAGACAATTTTGCCACGGACAGAGGGTGGGGAGGTATAAGAGTGGGGTTTGGGATGATTCAAGCGCATTACATTTATTGAGCAGTCAAACCTCTTTGCTAATGATAATCTATATTTGCAGTCACTACTCAGCACTAGCATCACCGCCTCAGCTCCACCTCAGATCATCAGGCATTAGATTCTCATAAGGAACATACAGCATAGATCCCTCATATGCACAGTTTACAGTAGGGTTCGCATTTCTATGAAAATCTAATGCTGCTGCTAATCTGACAAGAGGCGGAGCTTATGCGAAGATAGGAGCAATGGGGAGTGGCTATATATACAGATGAAGCTTCACTGGCTAACCTGCTGCTCACTTCCTGCTCTGCGGCCTGGTTCCTAACAGCCACAGATTGGTACCCATCCACAGCCCCAGGGGGTTGGGGACTGCAGTCCTAGAAGATATTATTGATAACAATCTGAGGAAAGAAAGGAAGTAGTGAAGGACAGGAGGGCTTGGTAACCGGGAGAGCAGTTAGGCATTATTGCTATAGATTGGAAAGGTCACATGGCTTTAACTAGGACAGTGGTGGTTGGCATAAAGAAAAGGGGGAGAAGATTAATATTCGTTGTGAACATATAGTTTGTAAGATTTGATAACTAATTAGCTACAAATTGTAAGGAAGAAGAAGAATTTAAAGATGAACCTAATATTTCTAGATTAAACAACTGGTTGAATGGAGATGCCATTAATCAAGATAGAGATTCCCTGTTAGAGATGGGCTGGCTAACGGCATTAGATTATAAGGCAAAACTATAAACAAAGGTCACAGATACTCTGTCTCATAGTCAACAAGATAGCGCTGAATGAGCATTGGCATGCAGTTAACACTTTGTAGAAAACTTTTAGAGCTTTATGTGAATGTACTGAGATTCCAAATACTCTTTGTATATACTGTTAAAAGGAATGATATAGTTAGAAAACTTTACTTCTTAGTGAAGCTCTACCTCAACTCAAGCATACCCTGTATAATAAAATACAGAGAAATAATGATAATTTGTATGAAAATGATTCTTTGTTTTATGAAAGCATATACATGAAAATAATGTTAAAGAGCCAGCTCCCTTGTGTCTTTAAAAATATGATTCAATTTTTAGAAGTTGTGTCTATATGTACCTATCTTGGAACATATCTTATACATTAGAGGATTTTGATTTTCTCTTGCTGTGTAAAAATAATTGCTATTTCCTTGTTGTTTGTAAATGTTCTTATAATATGCATCAGCAAGGGAGGGTTTGGAGGAAAAGGAGCCTGTGGGGGTTTAAAAACAAGAAGACATCATGGATAAGGTTTGAGTTTTTTGGCATACATTTTTTGTAATCTTCAAGGGGAAAAAATCCTTAGAACAGTATGCTACATGGAAGCTATTCCTTTCTAATCAAAATAGAGGCTAAATAAATAGACATTTTCTGTTAATATGACTTTGCCAATTTAGAGAGCCACATATCACAACCAACAGCAATCAGAACTGGTTAAAGAAGACAGGCTAGAAAGACAGAGTGAACAGAGTGAGCCCAGCACTGTCAATGGCACTGGACCGGTCCACATGTGCAGATGAGCAGAATGGCCATGAGAACCAGAGTAGCCAGACCAGAACAGATGTGACAAGAGAGATTACCCTGCAATAATGAGTGAGTCCTTTAGAGCCCTATTCAAAAGTCATGTACATGTAATAAATGGCAGTGTTATCTACATTATAAAATGCACTAAGGAGAGAGATGATATTTACAACTAAATATAATTAGAAATTCTAATATTTCTTCCTATGACTTGAGTGTTTTGTGTGCCCTGCTCCAGGGCTAAGACAGATTCATTGTGTACTTGGCATAGTTTATTACAGAGGTACCATATATCAAGCCCTATTCTTTGGAGGGCCAATTGTGAAGCAGTTTCCCTAGTTATCAATCCCAAGAGAAGATTCCCACTCTGTGGAGAATAGCAAAGATCATCACTATGCCAACCACTACAAACAGAAGTCCATACACTTATGTCCACTGCATCCTGGGCTACTATGTAGGTCCACCATGCACCAGTTACCAATTTATCTGAATCCAGTAAGTCAAAATACACGCACACAAGTTATTTGAAGTGAGTTTGTTACTTACAGATAGTCCACAAAGGACAGAAGTCTTGGGTCCATTGTGAGCGGATCTTCCAAGGCTCAAGAAAGCTGCCAAGGGTGGATGAAGCCTTGATGTGCATGCCCCACTTTGCACCACAGCTGAGGGACCCTGCAAGACAGCCCACCCTGGGTTATATACCTGAGAGGCCACATGGCACACTGGACAAAGCTTTGGAGAACATCCTGCTTCCAGGGGAGAGAGAAACAAAGCTTGGAACAAAGAGGAACAAAGTTTTACTCGCTAATTCAAGATGTGACATTCCCAAGAATGGACAGGAACAAAATCCAGGCATTTTAGACAGTTCCTCCCTATATTAGGGTATTACATTCCCAGTATATTCTACAGTTCCTCTTGATAATTACAAGCAAGAAAGGGAGGAGAACTGAGTTTGTCCAAGACCATGCAAAGAACTATCCTGCACCAATAACCA